AAGATGCTTCAACGTCGTGATGATAATGAGACACAACCTAGCGATGTTCTCCTGTATGTTCGTGGACCTGAGTTGATTGGGTTTTCACTTTCCATGATGTGTATGTTCAGCAAATTTTACACTATATGTCTAAGGAGAAACTTACCGATAGCGTTTGCGTTCATGATAACTGATGATCTTGAATCTGTGAACATCAGTGTTCGGCATCTTTTTGATTCTGTCCATTAACTATCTCTCGGCCACCTACAAAGTTTTTGTCCAGCTAAAAGCAGCACCAATTGTCACCACTTCATATAATATGTTTCAACCCTCCAAAGTCCAGACGAACTCGCTGATATCTTTGGTAAGACGTTTGTCTAACCCATTTTTTACCGTAAGTTAGTTTGCGTTTTAGGCATAAGATGGCCAAATATGTAATCCTCTCGGGGTTCGCGGAGCGCCGGAGCTATAGTACTGATCTTATTTGTTCGTGTGCATGTAGGTGTTGGGGTTGCAAATTATAGCCTTGACGCAAATAGTGATACATTTTTTACTTTTCTGGAAACCCGTCGTCGTCCATGGTCCCATGATGGATCCACCGGATCCTTCACTTTTCGAAACACGTGGTAAGAGTTCTGCTTGTATTATTCCTTTCCTTATTTTGATATTTTTTCCGACATGTTTTTTTTTTTTTGGCAGGCCTCATCCTTGCTTCCAGTTTGATCACGGTCGTCATACAGGCGGTGGTTCAGATTGCCTTACTAGCCCGAGCTAAGAAGTTAAACCACATTGCGACGTATTCAGTTTTTCTTTGGAAGGTCGTACCACGGCCAGGTTTGGACAAACTTCGTCAGACTGAAAGTATCACGAATATGAGCGTAGCAGCTGATGGGGATTCACAAGATGATGATGCGAGAGGATTCGAAAATGTCCCTACACTCTTTCAGCGCCGCCGAATCATGAACATTCGAAATAAAATCCGGTCGGTAGCTGCGCGCTCCAATTGGCTGTGGATGGTTATGGCGATCCTTGAAGGCTTGGGCACTGCGGCTGGCCTTGTCTCAGCCTGTATAGAATATGTTCGTAAACACCTCCCTTGAAATATTATTTTCTTTTCGCGTGAAATCTGAGTACACTTTGTTTATATGTACTGCTCTGATAGAAAGCTCAAGGGCAGCTTATTGTAAGCGATGATCTTAAATCCGCCGCATCAATATCTACTCCCATTTGGTATTGTCATTCAATCTTTCTGGATTTACTGATTGGCGCCAGCACGGCTCGGGACCTGCTGAGCATTATAAAACACATGTTAGGTACTGATAGGTAAGCCTTTATAAAAACTGCCACTCATATTCCATTGATTCACGAATTTCCCCAAATTGAAAGTCTGTTTTGAAGTTGTGTTTCGTCTCTGCGCTCACTGGCTCGAGCGACGTGCATAGCTGCAGTCTGCCTCAGTATAGTCCAGATAACTTTGACTGTCCTCCACTTCACTTTTCAAGTCTCGACTTGGAAGCAAATTCCTCTGTGCATTCTGCCACGAGTGTACGAGGTGAGCCTGCCACCATGCCACTAAAACCGCTTTCAAGTACATAGGATGCTCATTTGAAAATATCGGGCTTCTTCTGAATAATCAGATCATTCTGATAGCCGTATTAACAACCTCTCACAAAAGCCAAGAAACTCAAGACATCTACAAGTCTTCTCAAAGCACTCTGTACGATCGAGCGTCTCGTGTTTTTAGCCTGCAAGTCGTGCTTTCGGACAATGACTGGAATCTTGCTCGACCAATGCCGACACGTGGGAGCCCTCGATTGAAACAATAAACCTCGTAGCTCACTGACTATCGTTTAGCGTTAGAAGCGAGGATCTACTTTGCACACATTACAGTTCGCCCATCTTATCTTCACGACCACTCTTTTCATCTCCTTAACCCGTAGATCCTCCCTTGGTCGTTCAACTCAACGGAAATTTCAAGCCAAAACAGCCTGGCCACCTTTCACCAACCAATCGCTTTGGGAGCCTTTTCAAAACCCCTCCTCAATTTGACTTCATATCCAACAGCCTCGAACCATTTTCTTAAATGACACTAAATGGCAACAATCAAGAGTCTGATTTGCTCCCCAAAATGAGATTTTCCAATCTCTTCTCCTTATCAATCACCCTTCAAGAAGCTGGAATGCATCCAAAATAGTTTCAAAAAATTAACAAAACTCCGTCTTCTCTATTGGTGCTCGTACGCATCAGCCGACTCGACAAAGATAGCACGGGATTTCATTCCAACGGACTGTATATATCTATGTTAATATTCAAAAGCCTCAACACCATTTAACCCTTGTAATGAGTTCACCATGTTTCAATACTTATTTCATATATTTCTTGTGATTTTAATCTATGATGATAAAAGCCTCAACATCATCCAACCTCATTCAACTCTTGTATTAATTCCATCATGTTGCACCACACCCCGAGTCAAGATGTTCATAAACCTACATACCACAATTCTCTGCTTCTACGGGGCTGTTTCAATTTATTGTAAAGAAAACTTACTCCTTTTATTATGATGATCTACAGTATCTTTACGCCTTTTCACTCTTCTTTGTTTCGCACTGGAAAATGTTTCAAAGCAACCTGTATTCGAATTATCCTGTAAATACAAAAAAATTGACCAACTTCGAAGATGAAAAGATAATATTTGCAGACTGTATTTGGTTTAAGGTGTAGTTTTTTGGACGTAGAACCAAGCATGCAGTTAATGAGAGAATCAAACATAAAGAAAGAAAGCCGAGCTAAAAACATGTGGGTGGTGAATTAGAGATATGTGGTTTTAGAGAACAAATTATAGGTGATAGATACTCCTTGACGTTGACTGATATACAAACTCCTCAATTTTATCAGCTCCAAGTGACCCATCCCCTTCCTCACTGGAGGGGGGATCCATCGTCAAATGGACAAACTAAAAAGATTAGCAGGGAGAATTTGACCCGTGCCAAGGCTGGCTTCCCGGTACCAATCTGCTCCGGGCTGGCCTCGGTACCGGGTCCCCTAAATATGAGCTCTCTCGGGTTTGTTCCATTCAAAAAAAAAAAAAAAAAAAAAAAAAAAAAAACCAGCTCCGCACGCCACACATCCTGCTTCGTTTTCCAAACCTTGAAGACCGTCCTCTACCCATACATACCCTATCGTAAACGAACATGAATCAACAAGGTCGAGAATTCGCTAAGCTGTTTGCTCAGCAGGTCAAAACTCTCGGTCAAACGAGCGGACGACCTGGTGGATCCGGCGGAGGAGGTTTCGGTGGACCATCTGGAATTGGTAAAGCCTTAGGTGGTGCCGGAGGATTAATGCTATTGGGTGGTGCCGCTTTGACATTGAATTCGGCTTTGTTCAATGGTACGGATATCTTCTTCTCATTTGACTCGTTGGAGATTCCAGCAGGTTGACGAAGAACAAATTAATTCAACCTCACATCAGTCGATGGTGGTCACCGAGCTATCAAATACACTCGACTTCATGGAGTCAGGCCGGATGTATATAACGAGGGAACACATTTTGTGGTAAGTGATTAGCTTTGTCTGAAGATATCTATATGTTTCACCGACTTGGTTATTCAAATCTTTGACCGTGTCAACTGTTCCTCCTCAGATCCCTTGGTTTGAGACCCCGATTGTGTATGACGTCCGAGCCAAGCCTAGGACTATTGCTTCTCTCACTGGTACCAAAGGTAAGTGAGCCTATATCTCACTTCATTCCGTACTTGGGATCATGAATTAAGGATTTAATTTCTTTGAAAATGATCCCCTCTAGATCTTCAGATGGTAAATATCACTTGCCGTGTCTTATCCCGCCCAAACATCGAATCACTTTCGACAATATACCGTGAGTTGGGCACTGACTATGACGAGCGAGTCCTACCAAGCATTGTGTAAGTCAACATCCCCCCGATCGCCATTCTAGTCACATGCCATAAGCTGACTTCTGGCGTACCTTTTTATGTGGATGACACGAACGCAGGAACGAGGTTTTGAAATCAGTTGTTGCTCAATTCAATGCATCACAGTTAATTGGTCAACGAGAGATGGTATCTCGACTAGTCCGAGAAAATCTCACTAGGAGGGCATCGAGGTTCAACTTGGTTTTAGACGATGTCTCAATCACTCATGTGACTTTCTCACCTGCTTTCAGTGAAGCTGTAGAAAGTAAACAGATTGCGCAACAGACTGCTCAAAGAGCTGCATTTTTAGTCGATCAAGCAATTCAGGAAAAACAGGCTACTAAGATTCGGGCTCAAGGTGAAGCTCGAAGTGCAGAATTGATTGGTGAGGCAGTAAAACAAAACCGAGGTAAGCCTGATGCTGGGATTTTTTATTACATATGGTATCGATTGTTAGCTGACTTGACTGTCCACTTGCGCCACGTCTTTTTTTTTTTTTTTTTTTTTTTTTTTTTTTTTTTTTTTTTTGTAGGTTTCCTACAGCTAAGACGCCTGGAAGCCGCGCGAGACATCGCAACTGTAGTTGCAGCCAGTGGAAACAAAGTCATGTTGGATTCTGACACTCTCATGTTAAATGGTAGGTCTGATCTAATCATTTGAAAGGCCTTCATAATGGATAGATCCTCATCATCTTGCCTACTCTTTTGATAGTGAACGATGAATCTCTCAGCCGTCAAAAAAAGTGATTGGGAACGCCAAAGTCATTCCGGATCTTCTATGAAAAAATAAAAAAAAATTAGAGACTATCCCCTTCCCCCCCATTTAGTGCCTGAACCAAAGTGGCTTGCATGTATTTCCTCCTACCCCCAAATCACTTTGACCTGATTGACCTGACTTGGAAGTGATCAACACGATGGCCAAAAAGTAGGATTAGTTGAACAATACTTGAAAAAAAAAAAAAGTTGTTTCATTGAACAAATTCTCAAATTTCCTGTACCTCTTGATTTGACTATGAATGTCCTTTTAATCTGGTGTTTAGTGACTATGGCAAGCCATTGTATTGGCTATACAAAGGATGACGTCATCTGCCTTAGTAGCTCAGTGGTAGAGCGTTTGCCTAGTATACGATTAGGTGAGCAAAAGGTCCAGTGTTCGACTCACTGTTGAGGCAAATCTTTTTGGGGTTCGTTTTGCGTGGTGTGTCTCGCTGACTGGACTTTTCTTGATCGTCGTGTAACAAACACCACCCAACCAACACCTGAGACTCCCCTGACTCACCGGACTTATCTATGAGTGCTTTTTTAGACCTCCAAGAGAGAATCCAAATTTGGTTTAATGTCAAGATATCAAAACACTTCACGCAGCCTCATCAACACTGACTAACAGGGACCTTAGCGGCCTTAGCATAGGGGGTGGTAAGACAAGATCAAGTCTTTGGAAAATGTTTAACAAGGCTTGATTGCAAACAAAACGACAGTAGTGTCTTTTTCGTTTTTTTTTTCTTTTCTGTAAAGGTTGGTTACGCAATCAAAATGAAAACGAAGATGATTATATCCAAAGGAAGAAAGAAGAATAGAATGGTTCAAGAGATCTGAATTTTACGAGTTTCTTTATCAACTTGAACTTTTGGTACTTTGACCTCCAACACTCCGTCTGTAAAACTGGCTTTAATTTGATCATGAGTCACATTCTCAGGTACAGCGATAGTACGACTAAAAGTCCCAAAGGATCTTTCAGAAACCTGGGTGTAAAATAACCACAATTTATAAAGGTCAATTAAAATAAAAATCTATCTGGACTATATAGAACTGAACTTACTCGGACATTGCCTTGTTGGTGTTCATTTGAAGACTTGGTTTGGCTACTAACAGTGAGTCGTCCGTTTTGGAGATCAATGGAAATATCCTCTGAGAAGAAAGTAAATCAAAAGGAAGGTAACCGAAAAGCTGATTAGAATAAAATGTAAAAGGGAAAACAAGAGTTGAGAAGGACAAAAGAGAGTTAAAAAAAAAAAAAAAAAAAAACTTACCTTTCTTAGCACCAGGTAATTCGGTTGTCATGATAAATTCATCGGTTGTCTCTACAATGTCAATCTTGGGTCTAAATACTCGACTAACGATACTCGAACCTTGCTTTTCATTCGAAGTAGAGTTCGATTGAGCTGATGAATTGATTGCTTTGTTAGATGCGTTAGGAGGTGGTCCATATCGATCGGTGACTAGCTTGTCAAACATGGACTCAAAGTCGTCCCATTGGGAAGGGAAGAAGAGAGAGTAAGACATTGTGTGTTGGGATGATATGCGAGGTTGTTTTGGTTTGATAGCAAAACTGAATGCAAAGCAAGTGGTTTTGATACGCTGAAGGGTGATGAGGAGATGGCCATCCAACTGGAACACACACCTCGTTTTTATATTCCCATCGTCATCTCATCGAAACTTGCGAGAACATCCCAGGGCGTGAGGTTCAATTAGTCTGGGTTGGTTGACCGAAGGGAACCGTTGGCAATGGTGGTGGTAGTCTGGAACAGTACAGTAAATGCTAGAAGTGATGACGTAGTTTCAGGAATATTCTCGAGTTCGAGGATAGAGATCATGTAAAAGCATCCTAGCCGATGAGGAGAATGCTTGTACTGGGTGTTACCGGCTAGGGGGGACTTTAAAGTTCAAGTCTTGAAGTGAAGATTCATCGAGTTTTCCAGAAAATTTAAGAAATTTCCAATACCGTGTATTCACTCCGATCCTCATAAGAAACTAAAAGTTGTACAGTATTGTAAAACTCAGGGAGGAAGCTGAAATGACTATCATCCACTAAATCTGTCCGAGCACCTATAAAAACCCGTGCTTGGTTGGGAAAAGGTGTACTTGTGGGCGGCTTTCAGACTTTGTGCTACAAGATTATTTCCACTAATTGAAATTTTTTGAAATGAAGATTACAGATTTTTGAGGGGTGTGGTGAAGTAGAGTTAACTCAAGTATGAAAAGTTTATTTGATGCTTGGGTTAAGATGGTGGCTCTTAGTTTTCCGGCGTGGGTTCAATTCCCAACAACTCTGCAACCATTATGTTTCACTGGAAAAGTAAGCAATAGCCAGGACTTCCTTGGGATTGTAGAAGAGGGAGTTGTTAAAGGACAGTCTGAAAGTTTTGATAGCTCGGCGGAAAGTTAAATGAGGTTGCATGTGGCTTGAGCATTTAAAACAAAAACTGATCAACCGTTTCTGGGCTTGCATCACACATGAAGTCTGGGCTAGTTCCAAGAGATCCTGATTCAAGGTGATGTAGTAGGGTGATATTTTCACTATGTAACTAGACTAATGACACTATGGAGTCTTTGTGGGTTAATTTGATTAGACCCTTGGGAAAAAAAAGGGTTGAAGGTTGTGGCATAGTCTTTTGATGTCTTGATTTGAGAAAAAAGGAGCAGATCTGGTTCACTTCTTGATGGCTGTTTGGGATTCTCCTATTCAGGATTTTTCAGGCTAGCATGCAGAAGAGGTTATAAGAAAGCTTTGAACATGTCAGGATGGTTTTTTAAAAAAAAAGAATGACTCAACATTGATTTCTTTGAACACTTGCAATAAAGCAGTGGAGTTTAATTGGTAAAGTTGGTTTGTTGATGGTGTGGTATAAGGAATTGATTCGATATTTGTTGAGGGAAAAAGTGTTGAGAGATATATACGAGGTATAAGTTTACATATATGTATAAGGGAATCATGATCCGACATAACAACACTCATCACACTACAAATATTTTCACTTATTCCTAAGGGAATAATGCCCCCCTATGGAATAATTTTCCCAACCTATATTGCCCCCAGAACAATGCATGCTAAATCATTAGAAATTCAAAATGACTGCCCAGCTGGATAGTACATCTCATCCTGCTTTTCTTCCCCCTGAGCCCCAAACCATTCCACAGGGGGGCATTATTCCCTTAGGAATAAGTGAAAACATTTGTAGTGTCACAAGTGTCCTGGAATTTGGTCTCTACCAAGAGTGTGACCTACAGGGAATTTTGGTTAGGTCAACCAAAGCATTTATATCTCTTTTATTACATTCTATATACCCCAGATTGGTCCATCTTACCAAATGAGGATCTTGTTTTTCAAATTTACTCTTTTCTTATCTTGTCTATACTTTCTCAGGAGATTCCTACTCGAGACTGTCTGGATTCTATGTTTTGAGAGTTTTAAGTGTATGAACTGCTAGTGTCTTAGCTCTGAGATCCAGGTTTGTATCCCATAATCTTATGACAAGGAAAAGCTTGTGTCCGGCTTTGTAAGTACAGTGGTCAAATTAAGCCAAAATCTCAATTAAAAGTTTCCCTTCTAAAAATCTATAAAAAAGTTGGATTAGCTGATCTAAGACGCATGGGCCATCTACATTGTTTGATCAAAAAAAAAGAAAAAGCCTATAAGTTGGTTAAAAAGAATACACTTTTAGTCGAGTGATGTAAAATTTGACCTGCTTGGTTTTTTTTCTCTTGACATCCTATCAAGTCATAGTGGGGGGGGTAGTTATGAAATAAAAAGGTGCTTCTGTTCAATTTTGCCCTACATGGTCTTTCATGATGTACTTACAGTTCGGATGTAACTCACCGTCCGACCATGATATTTCTCACGAATCCCTTCTTATGATAGAAAATCCAAGAAAGAAGTAAGCTGTGTGAAAACAAATTAAAAATATGTATGGGGGCGGTGCGAGACCCGAAGAGGAGTGAGCTGACGGTCTAAGCGACTGATGTATAGAGGTGAGGGTTTGAAGATCCTAAACTACACTGCAATGTGCGAAAAATCATCTGACCCTGACTATTCTGTCCGCCTGCGCGATGTCAATACTTGTTATTGTTTCCGGTCAAATCAATAACATCTAATCTAACACATCTGTCATTGTACGACGGTGAGCTTCAATCTCGCGATTCCTAAGAAGTGCTTAAGAAGTGAGCTAATAAGATGAAGGTACGATAACGGCAATAATCGATAGCTAAAGGGCGTACTACAATGCTATTTTTTTTTTTGAAGTACTGAAAACAAGCGAGGATGGTTAATGGACTAGTGATATGAGAGAATGTGGTTTGTATGGTGGTTTAGGATGTCATTCGGTCGTTCCATTTGAACTTGAGCCGAGGAATTGATATACCATCATATGACCACACAATTCACCATTTCTTTTTCTGAGCAGGGTGTGAGTTAGACTCCGGTCGAGTGAAAATACCGGGGATGATTGGTCATGAGAGTGAGTACCACGATTGAGAATGGGAATCTGAATTTCGTGAAGGTTACAAATAGGTACTACTACTACTACTACTACTACTATTCTGCTCAGTCGATGGCGTAAGACATGCTCTTGTGTGTGTGTGTGTGTGTGTGTGTGTGTTATTTTTTTTGATAGAGTCTCTCTCATTCAGCTCGCTTCATCAAGAGACTGAGAGAGTCTGTGTACAGCAGTGGATTGGTTATTGCAGAGTTTTTCAAGTCTGACTTTGATTTCGATTGACAACGTTCTTGTTGATACTATTCCACTTTTCACCCTCCTTCGCCTTTTCCTCGATTTCCTGTTGTTCCACTAAAAATCAGTTGGGGTCTCAGTTATTTCCAATCAAGTATTTCTTGTGTTTTTTATTTTTTTTGAGGGAGTGATTAAAGAAGCTATCCTTGACTGTCACAGACCTTTACCACCTCTTCCCATGCCTACAACCATTTCCTCAACCTCTCCAACTCCATCTTTTATCTTCCTTCACCTTGTTCCTTATGTTGCTCCTCCGCCCAAGTGGTCCCAACCGTCCATAGTGAGTCCGTGCCGGATCCCGCTCGCTGAACACCGACCCGTGCGGCGCAGTAAGACTGCTGCGCACACACCCTCTCACACCACCATCACCCCGACGCCCTCACTGTCCCCGAACCCCTCGGACTCGAGTCTTACTCTAATTTCAAGTCCATCCCAGTCTCAGTTTGTGGTGGATCCATCACCCTCTCACTCGGCCAAGTTCCATAGAAAACCTTTGGCCGAGATTCAGAATTACCTCGTCGGAAACCTCAGCCTACGTTGGTCTTGCCACAGGTCCTCCTCTTACTCAAGCTCGATTTCACCAAAAATGAGCACTTACGCTCATAGCCCGAGTACGAAGACTATCCCCAGCTCACCTAAACGATTGCGCGACAAGCAAGCCTTAG